GATCGGTTTTTGGGGAAAAGGGTTTAGAGCTGCGGGCCGAGGGGTTTGGCGGCTAGGGTTTAGGTTGCAGGGCTCCTAAATCTTGAACCCTAAACTACAACAGGAGAGTGGGTGTTGAAACCACAAAAGAACTAAGACCTAAGCCCCAAACACAAGCCTACTCACAATCCTGACTCCTGTGCTCCGAGCATTGAAGCCCTCAGCCCTTAAACGCCGTCTCCTAGATGCCATCCTGGCACAAGGCGCAACATCCCAAAACCCCAACCTCCCCTGCATCCTAACTACACTTACATGCCCAGTAGGTCACCTAAGCCCTTTTGGGGCATGAGTAGCCCAGCCCCACCAAAAGCCAACGGTTAACCCTTTTTCGGTTAGGGTAGCCTGCCTTTAAGCAGCTCAACAGCTGTGGCAGCCCCCACCCTGCAAAGAAGCTGGCTCTGCAACGCCCAGACCCTACAACTTTGAATTTTAGGGCTTAGGGTTTAGGGCTTAGGGATTACAGTCTGGGTTCAAGCAAAGGGTTTAGTTTTTAGGGAATAGACCGCAAACCCAAATGTTAGACCCCAAACCCGAATGCCAAAGTCCTGAACCTTCAGAACCCCAAGCCCTCACAACCAAGCCCTCACAACCCCAAACCCGAAAGACCCAAGCCCTATATCCGAAAGCCTTAGCAGTCCATGCATCTGAAAAAAGCAACGAAAACCCCAAACGCCTAGATGGAATCCCAAACCCCAACAGTCTAAATTCTAAACCCTGAACTCCTAAAGCGCCGAAAACCCCTGAACCTTAAAGCCCCAAACCTTCAATTGAAAACCAAAAGCACCTTTGTAGAGCCCCTTTTGAACCCTCACTGATCTCTTCAAGAACCCCATGGAAACCCTGATTGATTGGTCCCCAAAACCGAAACCCGCTCTTGCTCGCCGAGGGCCAGGTCCAGAGCTTTGATCGCGACACCACGACCTTGCTTGAGCAGCTTAAGGAGTTATTCAGGGTTCCGTACGGGTGACTATCGGGGTTCCATGAGGCTTACCACAACGGGTCCTGTAGGTGTTTTACACGGGCAGGATTTGCACAACACGCCAGTGGAGCAGTGGTGGATCTGGTTCGACAGGGACTGCTGATGGTGGAGCTAACAGGTTGCCGCACCACACCCACCATGACCACACCAGCATCACCGCCATCACCACCATGGCGACCATGATCACCAAAACCACCATGACCACCATGGCCGCCATGACCGCCATGACCTCCATGACCACCATGACGACCCTGATCGCCACCACCGCCACCACCGCCACCACCAGCATCACCAGCATGACAACATCACTAGCATCACCACCGCCGCCACCGCCGCCACCGCCACCGCCACCGCCACTGCCACCGCCACCACCACGCCCACCGCCACCGCCATCGCCATCGCCATCGCCATCTTCATCTTCACCACCATTATTTTCATCATCGAATCATAGCCACCATCACCATCCTCATCATCACCTCCACCACCACCACCACCATCATCATCCCCACTATCACCATCTTCGTCCTCATCCCCATCCCCATCCTCATCCTCGTCCTCATCCCCATCCCCATCCTCCTCCTCATCATCTTCATCCTGGTCATGATCATAACATCATCATGCTAGTCATCATGATCACCACCACCGTCGTCATCACCAGCCTGCACCGCCGAACTTTGCTCTTGGGCTCAACCTAGCGACGGCGGGTTCGGCCGGGCGGCTTCATCACCCACAAGGTGGCTTCAGACTCCCATCGAACTTCTTCAGGCTTGAGGTCGGTTTTCCAAGTCTTCGGGGTCAGCGGCGGTCTTCCAAAGGTTCGGACTCAGGTTTCTGATTTGCTTTGGGATTGCTGAGCTTCGGCATGTTCGCATGACCCGAGCCGTCATGAGGACTTGGGCATAGCATGCTACAAAGAATTAGACAGGGACGGGGCCTAGTATGGTACAAGACTTGTACAAGGATTGTCGCATGGTCTAAGAACTATACAAGGGCTAACGTATACTATGGTACAAGAACTACTTGGCACTTTCCGAAAATTAGGGGTACCTGATTTTGGGGTCCGGATCCTACTATTTAGGGTAGTATATTAGGGTCCCCTATTTGCGGAAACTCCCTTTTAAGGACTGTAGCATGGTGTAAGAAGGGGATGTGATGACTCCGGGGGACATCTATCGGCCCTTCTCCTGCTACGGAACTCAACTTTACCACGGAATTCTGAGCATTCGCAGCATACAGGGGCCTGAGTAATTACGGATTAATACTGTTTTGGGGGTTCGTTACTCGTCATAATTGTAGTCATATATGTGGGTATGTACATTAAATTGTACCGCTAGGAAGCTGAAGGCACGCCAGGCCCCCTGCGCCATTGCAAGAATCCGTCAGAGACACTGGAATCGTCACGCGTATCGCAGAAGAAGAAACCCCCAAATTCAAAGTTATTGTGGCCTTTTCGCAGCCCGTTCTACGGCCGATTGTGGCCTCCTGGTGCAAGTAGATCTTGCAACATCGCCGAGACCTCCCCAAACGACTCTCTTTTGAGCTGCCAGGCCTGAGATCTTCACCCCCCCTAAACCCTAAAACCTGGCGGGAGGCAAAGAAAGCTCTAACATAGGGGCCTTAATAATTAGAACAGGGCTTCGGGGCCCATCATAATATAGTTTAAATAAGGAACCCCCCAAAAATAGTAAGGGTAATTATTTAGGCCCCTACAGTAGAACCCTTAGAGGTGTCGAGCCAGCGGCTGTGGCCGATTGGACGGAGACCCCCTCTCGGCGCCCTGGCTTCGGGAGGCTTCATCGGGTTAGGGCTTGGGGCATGAGCCGTGTGATCCCCTGGAAAACGGTCCTCATGTAAAAAAAGATACCGGACATGCAGCACCCTGTTCGAACTATTAAGGCCACGATATGTGGGTTTCGAGTTCAGGCTTGCAGTTCATGGCTTTCGATACTCGCGCTCGGACGGATGGGGCAAGGCCGGTGCGGACGGAGTATCTGGTGCGGGTTTTCGGGTGTCTGAAGCTTCGTTGCTTCGCCTCTATTCTAGGGTTTACGGTTTAGGGTTTCCATGGGGGTGGGATTTGCGGCGATGTCTTGCAAACGATGACCGTGTGTACTGTCACTGGAGTCAAATAACACGGCCTGCATGCAGCGAAGCTAGCGGAACGCGTGGATATGGATACGCACTCACGCATTGATTTGTACCTGCAGCAAAAAACGTGGCCAGTGGCCAGGACCCAATCCACCACGAACGTGGGAGCTATTTCAGGGCCACCAATTCCCCAGCAAGACATGAGCGGTCGCAGCAATCTGTTTTCGTTTGCGGGGCACGGCTCACACAGCGGCGGGGATCCTTACAGTCTGCTGCATCAATATTATGAATGTAGGGGCCTTGATAATTAGAATAGGGTTTGGGGGGTTTCCTTCTTAGAATTATAGTATAACATACCCCCAAACCCTATTCTAATTTCTAAGGCCCCTATACTAAGCATCCAGCAACTCTGGATTTGGGCCCGTGGTTTGGAGCCTTGAAACCCTAAGCCCTACACTTGGCGCGGGGCTGGGAACGTGTGGCCTTCGGGCCAGTGAAGGTATGATTGGAAGAGGCATCCCATTAGAAGGGCTGAAGGAGGGGTGGTGTGTGACTCCGTGGTTTACATGCAAGAACCACTACGACGACCTCAACCCGAAAGCCTGACGCTTTTTAGGGGCCTGGGCTGGGTCGCAGCTCATGGTAAAACAAGTCAGGACAAGGCGCCCCAAAGCTCTCGCCTCTCCCCCAACACCGGCTGTCTGCCCTCGCTTGTGAGACTTATCATGGTTTTCCATGTGCTCATGTTTTCACACGCCCTTTGCTGCCAGAACTGAGGGACTTAGGGTGGAGAGTAGGGGAGATGCTTGGGCAGAGAAAAGGGGGCGCCACTATGCCTGTGCAATTACCACCGCATAATATACCCCACAATATTAACTATTCTAGCAAGTTAGGTCCCCACTTAACAACCCTTATAAAACCGTATACATCCTACATTTTTTCAATTTCCAAGTGGGGAAAATCCATGGAATGACACTATCCACCAATGCCAGAGCCGAAGAGCTTTCCAGAAGGTGTGGAGCCCGTAGTGCTTAGACTCGGACCTAGAGACCTAGGGTTCTTGAAGGCTTCTTCGAGGGTTGCTAATTAGAAGCATGGCTTTAAAGGCTTCGTGTGGCTGCCTTAATCATTTGCAATATATTATTCAACTTCCTCGAAGTGTTGCCAAGGTGTCACCTGAAGGGCTAAGCGGCGGCGCTGTGGTGTTGGGTACAGTGGGCAAGCGCCCACATCCCGGCCGCCCGGATGGGTAGAAGCGGTTTGTGCCAGGTACCTGAGGATTGTTGTCGAAGCTTCATGAATAGCCAGGGATTGCTGATCCTAGCAGTCAGGAGGGAAAGGTTGAAGAGGCTGATGTGCTTGTGTCCAAGTTTAGGTTAGGGGGTGATTGCTCGGGCGCTTACCACAATAGTGACATCCATTCCCATCATATTCCCATGATTGGTAGCTGATCTGACTGCTTTAGCAGCTCGACGTTTTGTCCTTCTGTTTCTGGA